CCATACATCATCTTAAACTGTAGACTGTATAACGCTGTATTATTATTTTATCCCTTTTAGGTTGAGGCTGTCGAAAACGATGAATGATTCTAAACTGAGAATTTACCCAACTCACAGAAGACTGGAGTCTTAGAGATAATTGAGTTTTAGAAATTATTTTTATTTTATGTGTGTTTGTGTTGGTTCTTGTTCATTTATTTAACAAAATTTTTATTGTATATATACATATGCCATTTGAGTTTTATTCATCAACTTTTCGAGCCTGTGAATTGTAAATTTAAAACATTTTGAAACAAATTAGCTTAAAATGTTTTGTAAATATTTTTATGAATACGTTATGGAATCATGAAACTACATAGTCATTCTTTGATGAGTACAAATATTTTAACTGGTGGTATATTTTTGTCCTCGAAGCAGGGCAATCCTATAATTCTGCTTCTAGGCCCATTATGTACCACCAATTAAAATACTTGCACTCTTCAGAGACACCATGTATAATGTTACAAAATATTTATTTGCAACGTTTAAATAACGTCTAGCGCAACGCTTCAGTAACATTTCAACGAAACGTTTCTGAGGGCTGACATTTGCAGTAACATACACATTTCTGAAACGTTTCGGGATTTTAATATACGTTTCTGAAACGAAAAATTGTTTAGCGGGTTACCGATTGAGAATAATTGAGTCATGACAAGACGCTTAAATTAGAGAGTCAAAAATTATTTGCATTATTTATTCTTTATTCAGAATGTGATTAGAGTTATATCAACAACATGATTCCATTCGATATCTGCAAGAACAGAAGCTATCACCCTATGCTGTTAAACAAATTATAGACAAYTTTAAGAATTATGTTTCCGTCACGACAATCGCGCAAAGTAATAATCAAAATAGTAATAATTCCGTTAGTAATGATATKATCGAAATTGTTATTTTGTGATTTTTCGCCGCATATCCAACAATGTATGTAAGACGAGCTGCGTTAGAGTCAGGATTGTCGCAATCAGCCAGTTTTATAATATTTCGCAGACATAAGTTCCATTCATAGATATTTTCCATAGTTCAACATTTGAAAGATACTGTTTTTGTTCAAAAGGTTACATTTTGTGAATTTCTCATGACTTGGTAGCAAGGAACCGATCTTTTTTGAACAATTTCATATRGACAGACGAAGCAAAATTTACAAGAAATTGTACCTGTAAATCGACACAATTCCCATTACTTGGCAATTCAAATGTATATGTGTGAAATTTTTTTACAAAATTTTGGCAATTTACTTTTTATTGTGCTATTAGGAATGATAGCGTCACTCAGTTTTTTGGATCACTCTAGATAAAAATGTGCTTATATACAATGTAAGTAAAGGCTATTTGAACTTTTTAGAACATTTTGAAGGCTACTATTTAGACAACTTGCCCCTCGCTGTTGGGCTTTGCATTTAGAACCAACCATTCCTTAGATAGAGCTTGTTCCGTAAACATCTGTTATTGACATTTTTTCCTTAAACAATTGACATTGACATCGACACTATAAAAAATAAGTTAACAAATCTAGGGTGGCTCAAACTCGAATTGGAAGGCAAATCCAACCATTCTAGAAAAATAGGGACTTGCATTTAAAATAAGAAAGTAAGGTAATAGTTTTCGTACACCCTGTTCTACAGAGCTAAAATGGAGATAAATATATTTTACATCGTTTCGGGACGACTCGGTATGACCGGAAACGAATTTTGAAGGTTCTAAAACAACCATAAGTCGGAAAATTTCTAATGCACTGCCTACATAAATCACCCTGTATAGCTGAGGTATATGCCTCTATTTTCTTAATTCTCATAATCTTCGGGTTCCACTTTCGATTTTTGAGAGTATTTTTTATTGCATTCGTGACATGATGCCTAATTGAATAGATTGTAAAAAACGGTTACACTTAAATCTCGATTTTAATTTAAAAAATCAAGTGACACTTAAATTATGATTTGAGTGGTGAGTTGAATCAATTGATGTAAATTGATGCTACGCTGTGACGAACTTACCTTTTATCATACTCCTTTCCTTACTTTGTCTATGTCAACTATAGAAATAAAGCAAACCTGCCACCAGGGTTTCCCAATTGGGGCTAAGGTAAACGGAACCTTTAAAATTAAATTAAATTATAATATTAAATAAAATAAATAATATTAAATTAACGCAAAGTTTAATAATGGTATAAAGTAATATAATGGTACAACGATGTAGCATCTTTACATTTAGGTTATAATGTATTGACGCAAGAACTATGTAGGTGGTTTGTATGTTACTGTAATTCAACTTGGCTTGCAGCCGTTTATCTCATCGTCATAATTTTTAGCAGGAATCTTTTTAATTTCTTCCAATAAGGTAGCCTCAAATTCTCGTAGACCTTGTGGCTTTTTATACTGAAATAAAGATAACATTATACAGTATATATGGTGTTTGGAAACTTTATAGCTGACGTAAAGAACTTACCGTAATTATCAGTGTATTAAATTTGTGGCAAAAGTTAACGTTTTCTTGATTCATTTCGATACCTAGTCGTTCTAAGTCAGGTACATTTATTTCCTTGTAATACTTCTTGTTGGTAGTACGAACAATTAAGGAGTATGAACCCTTATCTATAGTTACTGAATACACGTCGATTGGATATGGCATGTTTCTTATTCTCCACTCAAGATTGATCTTTGTAATTCTCCTCGTTATAAACGGCTAAAAAATGGCAGTTAATCAGCAGCAGTACATTCGGCCCTTAGAAGCTTAAATACAAATAACAATGGTTTCACATGCAAGGCAATTTCAAGAGTCAGTTCTTTCTTATTATTTACCTGAGTGGAATTTTCACGAATCATGCATTTCTGTTCCGCATCATATTTAGGCTCCGGATCCCCAACTTCAATATCCCAGGCATCCTCGCCTTTCAATTCATTGTTTGTCCTCCATGCTCTGCGAGTGACGCAATTTGTTAGTAAATCGTATTGCTCCACCAATTCCTTGCCGTCTTCAAAGTCGTAATGCACTTTTCTTGAATTTCTGTCGATAATGCAAGACTTTTTTGCTTTCTGCAGCTTACTAAACCAGTTGTTCATCTTCAAACCGCATCTATGGCAATTTACGCGACAAGAAAAGTTACCAAGTCTAAATGTAACATAAGTATTTTAAAGCTAGCTCTTAGCTAGCGTCATTGATTTAACAAACAATGAAGTTGCTAGAAACAATTTCGTTGCTATTGAAACCGGCAAGACCAAAAATATAAACAATGCAAGGTTTGGTGGTTAAGTTTCCTTTTCTTCTACTTTTACTTTAATTTTAAATACACGCCATTAGTGATGCGCCTTTAGTGCAACAGTGTGAGCCGCAAAAAATTCAAACTAAATCACTGCTAATCATTCGCAATATTTCTTGCCATCTGTTTAATCATTAACAAGCTTGTGCAGCTTAAAATATCCAAAGTTGTTTGCGGGCTCGAGCCATTCGCCGATGTTAATCGCGAAACTGATTGATTGAAGTGCGCTTACGCGGGTTTTTTTCAAGATTTCTGCCCGTTTTCAATGTTAAATAATGCGGCGATTTGTTCAGGTGACGAAAGCGGGAAAAAAGGTTCTTCTTTCGGCCTGCTGGTACTTGGATCATCTCAGTACTGGAGGCGATTGGGAGAAATCCTACCAGTGCAAACCGACAAATTTCGGGGGCACTCCCGAACAAGTCAGTCTGCTACTTGGAGGTAATTGAGGCGGAAGTTTCTAGCAGTTAATGAAAAAGTGTCTCTTAGGAGAAGCATGCATGTGGTCCGAAGTCGTTAACGACTACAACGTAGTTCAGAGGATTTTCCCCAGAGCGTTCGCTCCTGCTGAGAAATTGTGGTCTGCTTATGATGCTGCTGAGCCTGATCTAGACGAAGTTGCCAGAAGGTTGGAAGAGCACGTTTGCAGGATGAATGCCGGAGGCATACCGGGGCAGCCCCCAACAGCTGCAGGATTTTGCCTGTAAAAAAATTTGCCAATTTCCACCCAGTTTTTGCTCCAGTATTCATTAAAAACAAAAAACGTCCAACAGTGTATTAAAAACCAGTCTCCTAATGATTAAAGTTAAGCCTATATGAAAATCGCCTCTTAATTGCTCGGGATTTGCGTTTTGAGCGAAAGAAGTGAGGAAATGGAAATTAACACAAAGCACATTTTTACAAATTATCTAATAACGTAACAGAACTAAGCAAAGCTGCGGATATCAAAATTCGCCATTTTTTACATGTTCCAGGAATGTATTTTAATCTGAGTCCCAATTAATGAAATCAAGCCAGTTCATTGAAACTACCACAATCCAGTCCGATGTTTAAAATGTAGAAAACATCACACGCATATACATTATGGGCATAATAGTTTCAATAGAAAAATGAACCCAAATCGTTCGGATCAGACCCCGATCGCTCAACGATTTTGATGTAAAATTGCCCATCCAGGGTGGGTTTCTCTTAAATGATACCGATTTCGCGCAACTTTTCACGCATTCTGTTAACAGTGCCGTCCCAGAGGGTTTGAAGCGGTTCCCTTACAACGTCATTAGTGATGTGGTCATGACATTAGCACTGTTGCTGTAGGTCAGTTTTTTTAAATTCAAAGAACGTACTTTTTACGTGGGTATGCTTGTAGTTTCCGGTCTTGTGTGCCTTTAACATGTTTGTTATATGTGCCAAGACAATGTATTGGTGTGGTACATGGTTTAAAACATTTCAAATAGTTTAGGTAAGATCTTTAGCTGAGCAGCTCTGAAATTAGCGATTTAACTTTATCATTTCTGTTATTTTTAGAGCATCAAGAACATACAGAATACTCTATGATCAAGAAAATTTAGTGGTTTCCAACTGTAGGATTATGCATATTTTGGTGAAAAAATGTAAGAGATACATAAACAAAAAGTTAAAAATACTAGAATAGGCAGAAAAGCATGTCATAAAGCATAAAGTCGGTTTCATGGAAATTATTTTTTAAAATAACCCAAAACAATTATTACAAAGAGAAAATTATTACACTAGTAGACACCTGAGAAAATTTTATTTACGGGAAATGTACAGCTACCCCTCATCAGGCGACAAGTATGAAGAAGAATTACTATGCTGTGGCGGTTTGTAGTTTCACCCTTATAGTATTTACATCTAGCAAAGCAAGTTCCATTATTCTCAGATATCTTATGACTTAAAGAAAGGCATTAGAGAAGCCGCATGTAGTTAGTTGTACAGTACTACTAGCAATGAACTCCATACTAAAGTACCTGTATACAGTTCATTGACTATTAGCTAGAGACTAGCCACTACTTGTTTTCATATGAATAAGTACCTAAATACCACAACATTTGTTTAAAAAGCACTAAGCAGAGACAAGAAATAATCCTTGGTTCTGGCCCCTTGTCTCTGGTACTAAGCTCAAACGGTTTGTAACAGATTTCACTCTCAGTGTGACGTCACGCAGACTGTCAGATGGACACAGCTGATGCGCAAGATCATACTTTATATTCCTTGTATCATGGGTATAGGGATTGGGTACTCGTACTGATTACTGGTATTGATTACCAGTTAGTCTGAGCGAGTACGAGTAGAGTATTGGGCTTTGGAGTCGAAGGTTAGGATGGGTGACTTGATTCTCCGAGAACGATTACTGATTACTTGAATACTCTTTTGGTAGGTTGGTTCGGTATTCGTTACTTCTGATACTGATGAGTAACGAGAATCTTATAGCGATTAGTTACTTTTTGTTCCCAGCACTAGAGTTCAACGCCGCTGTTACGCGTTATTGTATAACCAGTCTGTGGTATAACTGATTGCCTACTACACATGGATAATTTGTCTAAAGCCGCTCCGCAAA